CCCCCCAGGCCAGCTGAGCACTGCCTCACCCTTTCCTGAGCTGTTGCCAAGCAGCAAATGCTGGGCTGGCACACAGCTCTGACAGGCTGGAGTAGGGCAGGGCTGGGGCCATGGTGGGCTGGGGAGAACGGCCTGCCTCCCCACACAACCCCAAAGGCTGTGGTTGTGGTTAGTTAGTTCATGGGGTTCCACCTCACTCAGTGCCCAGATGGGGCTCCCCAAGAGTTATACAGATAACAACCAAGTGTGCCCACCTGCTGCAGATGCCTCTTGGGACCAGGGGACTCTAAGATGGGAACTCCACGTGCTCAGCACCTTCCTTCATCTCTTCACTTCTTCAGCACTCATGTTGCTGTGTGACTTTTGGCAGGTTACTTGATCTTTCTGACCTCAGTTTGCTGATCTGCAAAGTGACGCTAATAATAGCACCTGACGTCCTGGCTTGCTGTGAAGATCAAATGCAAAATGTGTGTAAAGTAGCTCTTTGAGGGCCTGGCCCATGGTCCTTGCTCAGTAAACATGATCCCTTCCCTGGTGGGCCCCAGAGAACTGGTGAATAAAAATGTCCAGGACTTACCCTTGTGGAGCTCCCAGTCCAGATGGGAGGCAGAGGAGGGCATAGGATGACAGGCCTTGAAGCCAAGTTTGGGCATCTGATCTTTTTTTAAAAAATATATCTTTATTGATTTCAGAGAGAGGAAAAGAGAGGGAGAGAGAGAGATAGAAACATCAATGATGAGAGAGTCATTGATTGAGCCCACAACCCGGGCATGTGCCTTGGCCGGGAATTGAACCCCCGATTGCCTGTATCCTAGGCCTACGGTCAACAGCTGAGCCACGCCCAGCCAGGCTGGGCGTCTGAGCTTGATCCCAAGGAGGAAAAGTTGAAACTTGAGCAGGATGAGATTTGCTTGGCAACCATGTGAAAGGTGAGGTTCTTTAAAGGCCTCCAAGGCTAACTTTCCATCCAGTGTTGCTTAGCTCCTGCTCACACACCTCCAAGAATGGGGAGTTCTCTTGGACAGCCCATCAATGGACAGCTCAGTCTTCACTGTGTTGGTATTTTTGTGGATATGTTACCAGTTCTGCATGCATCTGTCAGTGAAAATAAGAGACACATCTTTTCCTGAGTCCTTAAGTAGTACCATCCTGAGGTGAGAAAACCCTTCCAGGCACCAAGTCAAGCTCAAGGCCCCCTGGGAGGATTTCAGGTCAGAATGAAACTGAAGGGTCCCTGGAAGGCAATGATGTGCATATCCTGTGTGACCTTGGACAAGTTGCTAACTGCAGAACTGGAGTAAGAAGGATGGTGGCACCCTGGACCCCCAATTTAGTTTCCACTACTTGTTGCTGAATACCCATTGTGGGCCAGTCCTTCATTTTATGTGGCAAATTAGGATAAAGACAGCCACAGACAGCCTTCCAGTTAGGTGTCTTTATTCTTAATTACTAAAAGACTGAGGCTCAGAGAAGTTAGGTAACTGGCCCAAATCACACAGCTTTGGAACCAGGAATTAAACCTAGGTCTCCAGACTCCCAGTCCAGATCTCAGTGCAAGGATGTGGCTGCCCTCACTCCTTGCCCCTGCCCAGCACCTCTGTGGGCCCTGGGAGTCAGGAAGTTCCCTCATCAGTCCCTATTGGGGGCTCTGTC